GTGAGGAAGATCAGCCCTGAGCTAACATCCAATGCCAATTCTCCTCTTTTTTTTTTTGCTGAGGAAGATTGGCACCGAGCTAACATCCATGCCCATCTTCCTCTACTTTATATGGGATGCCACCACAGCATGGCTTGACAAGCGGTGTGTCAGTGGCGGTGTGTCAGTGCGCACCCAGGATCCGAACCTGTGAACCCTGGGCCGCCGAAGCAGAGCACACGCGCCCAACCACTTGCACCACTGGGCCTGCCCCCCAATGGATTCTTTAGGGTTTTCTACATATAAAATCATGTCGTCTACAAACAGCGAGAGTTTCACTTCTTCGTTGCCTATTTGTATTCCTTTTTTCCTTTTTCTTGCCCAATTGCTCTGGCCAAAACCTCCAGTACTATGTTTAATAAGAGTGGTGAGAGTGGGCACCCTTGTCTTGTTCCTGTTCTCAGAGGGATGGCTTTCAGTTTTTCCCCATTGAGTATAATGTTGGCTGTGGATTTGTCATATATGGCCTCTATTATGTTGAGGTACTTTCCTTCTATACCCGTTTTGTTGCGAGTTTTTATCATAAGTGGATGTTGGATCTTGTCAAATGCTTTCTCTGCATCTATTGAGATGATCATGTGGTTTTTATTCCTTGTTTTGTTAATGTGGTGTATCACATTGATTGATATGCAGATGTTGAACCTGTGTCCTGTGTCCCTGTTATAAATCCCACTTGATCATGGTGTATGATCTTTTTAATGTATTGCTGTATTCGGTTTGCCAATCTATGGGTTTTTGCATCTATGTTCATCAGCGGTATTGGCCTGTAGTTTTCCTTCTGTGTATTGTTCTTGTCTGGCTTTGGTATGAGAGTGATGTTGGCTTCGTAGAATGTGTTAGGAAGTGTTCCATCTTCCTCTATTTTTTGGAATAGTTTGAGAAAGATAGGTATTAAATCTTCTTTGGATGTTTGCTAAAACTCTCCAGAGAAGCCATCTGGTCCTGGACTTTAATTTTTTGGGAGGTTTTTGATTGCTGTTTCAATCTCTTTACTTGTGATTTGTCTATTCCTATTCTCTGTTTCTTCTTGATTCAGTTTTGGGAGGTTGTAT